GAGCGCGGTCTGCACCGGGGCTCGGCGAGAAGAAAGGGGAGGGAGAGAGACGAAGGCAGGCAGGAAGAAGCCGCCTCCAGCTGGGCTCTTGCGTTCCTCGCTTCCAGGAGCCGGGAAGAAGGAAGGTGAGCGGCAGCCGGGTGGACGCTTGGCAGAGTGGGCCACCTTTCGGGGGTCGGTCTGCTTGGATTGTGAGTGGCCGGGAATGCTCTTGACGAACCCGGGCTGCGCCTGACTAAGCGATCTTGGTTAATATCCTGGTCTGAGAGAAAGCGGGGAGGGAAGGGAGATCCGAGGTGAAACTGGTGGCTGTTGGGCGGCTGCCCCCGGGTTTTAAAATGTCTCGGTTTTTTTATCGCAAGCAAGCAATTTCCTACCCAGGGCATGGACCGCTTAAACCTCAAAGGGCTTTTTGAAAAGGCGGCCAGGGGAGGTCGCGTTTCAAATCGTTTGGGTGTTGTTGTCATTGTTGCTCTCCGCTGGGCTTTTGTCTGGAGGGGTCCGTCTGAAAGAATGAAGCCCCCCGGGAGGAGAGCCAGCGGTCGCTCGAGCACGATCTGCGCGACTTGATTCCGGTCCACTTTCTTTTGTTAGGATTCCGCGGCGGACTCACCGGACTTGATGCGGGATGCCGCGCGTAATGCAATCCCACGATATACATTTAATCAAATCACTCGGGTGAAGAAACCAGGGCAGGAGCGACTGTGTCTTGGGGAGGGAGGGGGTTTGGTAGCTGTATCTAAACAACAACGAAAAAGGAAATGTGCATCAAATTCGTTTTGCTCATTTTTTGAAAAGACTTTCTCCTTGGGACTTTTGGTTAAAACATTCGTTTTCACTGGGACTTTGGAGAAGAGAAGCTGTATGTCTGTATATCTTTATGTTGTCCTAGGATCACCCGGGAGCACGCCTCTTCCCCGACTTCCTTGCCTCTTAACCTGGTCACGCCTTAAACGGTGGGTAGGATTTAATCTGGTGGAAAAGGGGGAATTGCTTTAAGGAAGCCATAAACGGGGCGAGCGCAGCCTTTGAACTTCCGCTGCTTTGTGTCTGGAGCTCGCCGGTGTCATGCTAACGCCGTGCCACACCGAGACGGTTTCCGTCCGTCTTGAGCCACGGAGGTTGGGCAATGCTCCTCAAAGGCTTGAGGGGAGGAAGACGATCCGAGCGTGTATAAAAATTGCAAGAATGCAAGATGGGAGCTCTGTTATTTCTTTAGCAGCTTCCCGAGAAAAGTTGGCGCGTCCAGTTGAGCTGGGAACGGTGCCTATGCTGGATCCTTCTGAATCGTCTCCTTGTCAAAGCCTGAGATTCGATTTTCCTGGAGCATTTGCTTTCTCTGAGGGTTTCACGTTGGCTCTTCTTCTCCCTCCCCCGCCCTGCTTGGTGAAGACCCGCTGCTTTGTTTCAGGGAAGCTTCCTGCTCTAAAGTGTGGCTTGGCTTCCCTTTAATGAGGACATGCAACCTGAGGCACCCCCGATCTCTTGCCATGGGCTATACTGGTTGGGGGTGGGGTGGTTGAATCTAAAACATTGGAGGAGTTTGGCTGTAAACCCTTGCCTATAAAGAGTTGAAAGAACATGCCTCCCTGGGGGGCTTCTACAAGTCACCTTGTAGCACTAGCTGCACGTGGTCCTTGTGCTACTTTACAAGGCTGTTGTAAAGATGACTGACATAATGCATGTGGAATAGGCATGTCTCAAACCTTTGCAACATGTTGGATAAACTAAAAGTTGATTTATTTAAATACAGTATAGATCTAGAGGTAGGTGAGTGGCTGGGTTCTCTATCCTTCTCTTCAAACTAACTTTTCAGTACCCTCCAGAAAAGCCATTTGTGAGGGTTAGGAACATCCTAGGATGACATGATAGGATTTATGGTAGGCTGCAACTGGAGGGGGACCTGCCACAGAGTTGAAAAGAGGCATATAGTGGAAGCCCTCCATTCATGCAAGTTTGGATCTAAACAAATGTTTTCTGTGATAGAGGCATCCTCACTTGGTTACATGTACATATTTAAATGGCAAAAGGAGGCATTTTTTGATGGACCTTTGGTCTGATCAAGCTGTGGCTTATGAAATAATATTGCTTCTAAAACTGGAGGATTCTATTTAGCTATGTTATGTGTATATATGTATCTGTATGTATGCGCCTTCGAGTCAGTGTTGACTCCTGGTGATTGCCTGGACTAGTCCCTGTAGTTTTCTTGGCAAGATTTCAGAAATGGTTTGCCATTGCCTTCTTCCTAGGGCTGAGAGAGAGTGACTGGCCTAAGGTCTCCCAGCTGGCTTTGTGCCTAAGGCAGGACTAGAGCTCACAGTCTCCTGATTTCTAGCCCGGTGCCTTAACCACCACACCAAATGGTTTATCTATTGTCCATGAATTTATTTGTTTGTTTGTTTATTCCATCCATTCTTGAACATTCTAGGTGGTTACTCCACAATGGGCCTAACACCCTTGGCTTTTATATTACAACCCTCCAGTCCCTGACCATTGTTTATACTGACTGGAGCTGATGAGAGTTATTGTCCATAGGATCTAGAAAGCATCAGGTTTGACCCTGCATAGTGAATTGCGCAGGCAGATTGCACATTGGCTGAAGTTGGTCATTGGTCTGTCTTGCACTTACCGTTAGTCTACTTCTGATACAAAATCAGCTGTCCCACCCAACATTTGAAAAATAATAATGAAGGCTGGGGCTGAGTTCACACACCAAGAACACACACCACGTCTTGATTAAAAAGCAGCACATGATGGGAAGGGGAAGGCATGCTGCTTAACAAAACATTTTAGCATTTTAACCACAGACTTTTCATTTAGTCTGTGAACTTGGGTTTGCTTTTATAAAACCAGTTAGAATGAGACTGCTGTGAAATCCTTGGTCTGTAGACTAGACAGGGTTGTAGAAAAAATATCCCCAAAGAAGGCAGTGGCAAACCACTTTCATATTATTGCGAACAGAATTATATGGCCATGGCTATGAAGACACTAAAAGTCATTTTTTTAACCTAAGGGAGAATGTCAGAATGATTAAGGTGCTGCAAATCTTTCTGCAAAGAATACTAGCCATATTGCACCCCAGGCTCTTTGAAAGCGTCATAAGAGTATTTGTTTCAACAGGCTAACACAGCTGTCTCTTCAAATGATAGTGAGACTGCTTCACACATATCATCCACTGTCTGAGCAGAGCATTGCTTAGCTGTCTATCTCACTAATTATTATGTCAATTGGTTTATTGCTAGATATTATATTTGACGTGTTTCTAGACCTGGCCTAGCTCCAAACAATAGTGAGGTTAGCTTAAATCCACTAGTAGGACTTGAGACTCTACACTTGAATAGAGTCTTTAAGATGATAGGATGCTGACTAAGACAATTCCCCATTTACATGTCACCTCCTCCAGGTTAGGGGAGCTCACTGAGGGTATATAAAATTCTGGAATTGGCACTGGATATTTATTGGTTGAAATAATATCATGATGGAGCAGTGTTGGCCATTTTTATACAAAGAATAATAACTTGATTGTCTATACATTTTCTGGGCAGATGGATAGATAGATAGAATTCTGCAGTAGCACTAGTTAGCTCCTGTGCTGGTTTTCCAAGACTCAAGGGACAGGGGAGTGAAAATGATTCATGATTCTTCTGGTTGTAACTAGTTGCAAAGTTAGGGAGCAGCTGAAGTTTTTTTCTTGGCTTTAAATCAAGAGTGAAGAAAAGTTTGTCTTGTTCCTAATAGCTGTATAGTCCAGCTGTGCGTCTAAGGCAGGGTTCCTCAACCGTGTCAACTTTAAGATGGGTGGATTTCAACTTCCAGAATTCCTCAGCCAGCAAGGAATTCTGGAAGTTGAAGTCCACCCGTCTTAAGGTTGCCAGGGTTGAGGAACCCTGGTCTAAGGAACATGACTATAGAAAGGTAGATCCAAAAGTCTCTACTCAGTAGTGGTTAAAAATAGAGTGATGAGAATATTTGGTCTGGAGAATCAAGATTGATTTCAAACATTGAGTTGAATTGGATACTTTAATTAGATGCATGTGAAGAAATGACTTTCTCTAAAACAAATTGACCCCAGTTTGACTATTTGATTTGAAATTTGAATTGAATTGGATTGGATTGATTTTCCAATTCAGATTGAAGATATTAATCAGCCTTCACTTGATTTGAACAGGCCATTTTAAAAACAGTAGAAGCCATTGGATCAGACTAGTATGTCATCTAGTTCAATAACCTGTTTCTGATACTGTCTAATAAAAATATGCTTATGGGAGTATGCCTCAATGTTTAGAGTAGTGTGTATTTAAAAAGAAAGTTTGAAATAGAATTTAATTCTAATTGAAAACCATTCTTGAAATACAATCGTATATATGGAATTGTGCCACATCTAAAATTTGAGTTTTAGAGTTCTTTGTATAATTTGCAGTATTAATTGATTTATTTGTATCATCTGTTTCTTATATTCTTTTAAAATATATATAACAATAACATGGGGAAAAAATTTAAAAATGCCAATGAGAAATCTGCAAACACATTGAGTGAAATAAGGTATTTCCTGCTGTTTTTTCCCAGCAATTGTAATCACTAATAACACTCTCCTCCATATTTGCTAGGATTCACTATTTGACTATCAGTCAGTGGTATCTTGACCTTACATATTAGCATATGGGGAGGGGAGAATATCACTAGATGTTGCAGCTTCAAGGATTGCTAGGATTCTAAAAAGAGACAAAACTATTACCTATACTAAATCAACATGGCAGCTGTTAATTTTCTAGATATCTTCTTGGAATGGTTCATGGAAGTGCTCACTTTCCTCTCTTGGGAAGAGGGTAGAATTGCATAAGCAGTCTGAATAACAAAAGTTTATCTAGATCAGTTTTCACAAATTCTTGCCATGTTCTAGATGTGTAACTCCCAGAAATTCCAACCAACATTCCTTTAAACCAGATTAGCAGGGAATTCTGGGACATGCAGTCTCATCATATCTATAGAATACCAGGTTGGAAAAGTTTGATTTAGACCAAGTCCCAAACTGGTAGGAGTCTCTTGTCATTCCTCTGTTTCAAAAGTTTCTGGAGAGGGGTAAGCATCATCTTCAGAGGACAAGTCCATCTGTTGTTCAATTGAT